TCCGAGGGTATGTGATAATAGAAAAAGACAAAGGTACAGGGTCCCTGAGTCCTTGGGGTACCTCCCTAGTCCAGCTCTGAAAAGCTGCCCTCATTTCACTGGCTCTGCCCCTACAGCTAAGTTCATCTTACCCCTCCTCACTCCAGGGCAATCCACTCTTGCTCTTGGTCCTGGATCAATTCTGACAAAGGTGGAAGTAAATTAGCAGCCACACTTCACTGTAAGTACACATACATGTACACTTGTGATTGTGAACATACATACCCACACACCTGCAGGAATACCATATTCTACGTGGACGTGCCAATCATGAAGAGTTGTCGCTGTTGTTAAGTCCCATCAACTCAATACGTAGTGACCCATGAACAGCAGATCTGAACCCTGCCCTATCCTGTACATCCTAATCTTCTCTGATGTACATGAGCCCACTGTTGCAGTCATTTGTTTCAGTCCATCTTGGTGAGGGTGTTCCTCTATTGCTTGGACCCTCCAGCTTTCCAAGCATGATGTCTTTTTCCAAGGACTAGCACCTCCTAACAACATGCCGAAGTATATGAAATGAAGCTTAATCATCCTCAACTCTCAAAAGGTGAGTGCCCAACTAAGTACCCAGCTTCCAGCCCATCATCCAATCTGTCTCATTCTAGCCACATAATGACCCTGTGTTGGTTGGAGAGTGAAGCAACTGTTTGGGAATATACAGCTGGTAAGTTTAAGCAGCAGAGCTGGGATCTGGACTCAAGTTCATGAGTCCAAGTCTCATACTCTGTTTCCACATTAAAAAGTTTTTATCAGAGTTACTTAGAGAAAAATGCAACTCTATACACATACAGCCTTAATTGTGATGTAAAGCATGTATCAAGGTTATAGCAGGAAAGGGAGTATGAATATCAAGTCCGAGGAGGTGAAGTGGAACCCCAAGGGTAGTTTCTCAAAACATATAAGTATCAAGAGCACAGCAGTGTGAAGGGGAAGATTTAGGCTTGGGCAAGTGACTCAAACTTTTCATGATGTTTGGTGTACGGCCTGGGGACAGAGGTTATGAGTTCAAGGAACTAGACAGGCTGAACAGGTTCTGCTAACCACACATGGGTCCTGGAGCCTGCGGCAGGACTTTTGCTACTTGTCTCCTAAGGTCTAGTTCTCAGGTGCACTTCAGGATGAAGATGGACAATCCTTCTCCAGCCTTAGAGACCCAGTGGTGCGTATGCCATGAATCTGTTCCAACTCAATGACAATACATCTGAATATTCAGGGAAGGAAATGAATGGCATATGGACAATCACATCTCTTTTCCACAGGTAGAGCAGATATTGCTAACTGATCACAGTTCTCTTTTCCAGACATCTCAATGACTTCTCCGAATTCTCCATCCAGTGTTCTAGCTAGCCACTCCCAATTCGAATGGCCCTGTGATGAAAGCTATAAGCCTTTGAATAATGCGCTCACTCCCATGTGCCAGTCCCCTTCCTCTTCCTGTTTGCCAATAGATGAAAAAAAAATCTACAAGTCTACGACCAAAATGAATAAGGAATGAATAAGGGAAGGCCAAGATAGGCTGGAAATTAGTAACTCAGAGACAGAGGCTGTGTCTTAATCACTGATGTACCCCAACATGCGGCATCAGGCCTGGTCAAGAAGAGGGAATAGTGATCAATGTGAATTAGGAGAATGATAATAAATCAAGCTTCTCATGGGAGATATTTCAGTCAAACCCACTTTTCCCATTTTCCTTAGCTTTCCAGTAGTTTCTAGAGGCTGCCCCAGATGGTGACAGTAGCCAGACTCTTCTTATTAGTAAAGCTAGAAAGGCTGGGGCGTTTTGTTCTAATGTCTAGAGACACTGGATCTCAGATGAAAGAATCACTGAGGCTCAGGAAGGGATTCAGATACCATCTCCTTCAAGAAAATGAACTCTGAGGCTGGCACAGGTCCTTTCCTTGTCAGGACCACAGTTTTCCTTCTGAGAGTGAGAAGCCTTGTTGCCTTTGACAGATAAATCAAAGGATGGCCCTTTGCAAACTATGAGGTGAGGGCTACCCTAATGCCTGTTTGTCAAGCAGACCTTACTTGATTTCTTCTCCCTCATCACCTCTTCCAGCCTTGGTTGTTCCCATTCAGGAAATGTTAGTCCTCTGTTTTGGGTTAAATATAGATTTCAAAGAAGGCTGGAGCTCTCAGCCATTCCAGGTTGAAAAGGCATTCGCAGGAATTGTCCTATCCTTGTGACATATATGGTTCATGGGAAGAAACGAGATCAGAGGCCACATGCTACCAAGGGCTGGAGCGAGTGCTAGTCTTCAGCAATGCCCACAACTTTCGTTGTCTTTTAAGATACTGTTTTTCATTTTTACGGACCTACTATGTACTTAACATTTTATCTGTCCTGTCTCCATTCTCATTCAAAAAACCATGCTGAAGAATTAGGGCCCTTCATTTCACATAGGACCCTGTGGCTTAGAAGTTATAGTTCTCAAGGTTGAGGTGGCTGATAAGAATCAGGATTTAAAAGCCAGACTGTCTCATTCTAATGTCCTACTCTTATTCCTTTTCCCAAATGTGTTGCCCTCAGATTTATCAGAGTCCAAAACAGACTTATCCCGACCTGATTCCAGTGCGCCCTCTGTCTCAGATGTTGATGACACACAATTGACTTCTGGGGAGAGAATGGACACCAATTATTTCCAAATCTACAGAGTTCCTTCAACAGGCAAATCCCAAGTTTATCTCCCTTCATCACAATTTAAAAGAAATGGGAGAAAAAAACAAAACCCACAAAAAACCCCCAGAGTCTGAGATACAGTCTAGGTGTCACAGCAGGTGGACAGAGGGTTGAAGAGACGCATACAGGGTGTTTATGTTGCTCATCTATCCTGAAGGTCACTTGTCTTAGACTCCTCTTGAGAATGAGCATGGACTATGAAAGGGAAGAAAAGCCTTTTTACACTAGCAGACCAGCGAGGCACCTGTACCACTCCATATGAGCCCAGCAAGCTCTGGTGGCCTGGTCCACAGATAGCTATGCTGTTAACCCAAAGACTACAGCCCTCTGACAGCTTGAATCCACCAACGACCCCAAAGAAGAGAGATGGACAATCTCTGACTTATAGCCTCGGAAAACCTGCAGGAGGTCAGCTGGGACTTGACAGCAATGAGTAGAGTTTTGTTTCCGTATATACCCAGCAAGCTTGTGACAAAAACCGTCCATCAATAGATCCCACCAGCCTCATATTTTTTGTAACAGATTCTGGGCATCCACTATACAAGAAGCTGGATACGCCTAGAATGAGACATTTGAAAGCCTGAAGTAGGGCCAAGAAAGGAGATGGGGTGGGATTTGGCACCAGAATGTGTCCCAGGCCTCAAACGTGGGATGAGGCAAATTAGTTCTGTGGCCGCAGTGATCACAGGGTTCTTATAAACATAACCTAATTGCATTACTTCAAAGTCTTGAAGCTTATTGCACTGCTTAATGATGTGTCGCGTTATTTATAGGGTATCACAATGAGACTTCTATTGATTTAATGCACTTCCTTAAGACCGTCATTGTCACAGCCATAAAATGGAGCTATTCCCAGACAGCTCAATTATGTCTCCTGAGCCTATAAACCACTCCGTGCCCCCTACAGTTGCACACAAGAGGCAGGAACCTGAGAGGCAGTGTTAGCATACAAGGCCTTCAGGGACACAAGGGAGAGCTCTGGAGAGGCTAACAGCAGGGCGACTGGGGGCTTGATGTGCGGCTGTATGGAAATTTCTAGATGAGGAATGTGTAGCACCCCTGTGCTGTCTTGGCCCTTGGCCTCTTTCTCCCTTTTGGGCCTCAGTTTTTCCCAAGTGTGAAATGTAGCCCTGGGCTGAAGGAGACCTTTACGACTGCTTCTGTTCCCATGTTGTATGGTGGTCTGATTAAAGTTGATTTAGTTATTTGGGCTGGACAAAGGCTGACAAGGAATTGAGGAAATGAGGTAGCTTGAGCCTATGACTAGGAGATGAAAAATGTTTTTAACACTTTTCACCCTTTTATCCACGGAGGTCATTTCTTGAAAGTGAAATGGTAATAATAGTAATGGTAACAGTAGGGAGCACTTGGAGTTTAATTGAAAGGAGGAAAGACATGAACTTTTGTATCCTGCTCGTCTTGAGTTCTAATCCCGGTCAGCTAGTTGGTAGCTGGGTACCTATGGGCACTTGCCTTGGCATGCTAGAGACTCCCTTTCTCATATGTGAAACTAGGGCATGAATCCACGGGCCTGTTAGAAATGCCTGCATACCAATGTACCATACTCTAACTTTCTCAAGATATTGTTATAGAACTTATGCAAGCCTTTAATGGAGGAGGGAAGTAAAAGCTACTTAAATGCCCATTCCCTGGGGAGGGAAAACAGACAGGAAGAACATGACTTGACCAGGAAGAGTGGTAGAGACAGATATCCTGTACCAGGTCTAGGAGATTTCAATTCTGATCTTAGAGAATCAGAAGGCAATGGGATCTTGGACCCTCCCAGAGGATAAAAGCTTCTCTGTGGAGAGATTGCTTCACCCCCACCCCAGTATGTAGTCACTTCCAGAGAAAGTAGGACCTCTCTTGGATTCTCTGAAGAAGCCCAGAAAGAAAGAAGTGTAGAGGAGACACCACCACCCCATTCCCCGCTTCCAATTCAGCAGCTGTTTCCAAGTACAAGGCGACAAAGAACATGTCATAAAAGGGCAGAGGTTTGGAGTCCAGACAACCAGTTCAAAAAATATCTGAATTCAGTAAGCCATGAGAAACCAGCATGCATCACCACCTCATCTGCTCCTGGCGAAGCTGATGCCCGGAGATGGAAATGGACTCACCTAAGGACACACAGTGGATCTAGTGGAGCCAGGACTCAGCTCCCAGAGAGGTCAGCTATCTCCCCGACCTCCTTACCTCCCAGAGAGGTCAGCTATCTCCCCGACCTCCTTACCTCTATATCCTACCTGGCCACCACCTCCAACATGCTCGCCAGGCTTACCTTTCTGATACTGGAGCCAGAGTTGCTGCTGGACCTTCTTGCTGGGGAAATGGATGATGCAGGTGAGCTCCGAGCCATAGAGGGCCTCGGCAATGTAGTGGGAGCCGTAGTGCTGGAGGAAGGACAGCAGCTCCTCCCGACTGCTCTCCTTGGTCAGGATCTTGAGGACGTTGGTGAACTCTGGGCCGGGAAAAGAGCACAGGGAGCTGTCAGACGTGGGAGGCTGGAGGCCAGGGAGTTAATCAGTAGCAGGAGGCTCTTTTCTGCCTGGATTGGGTGCCTTGCCCACATCACGCTAGTGGTAGTCTAAATGTGGACACCACTCTCCCATTCACCTATTAAAGAACTGCTTTCTCTGGTGACCACACATGACTTCATCAGAAAGAGCACTGGCAGAAGAGGAAAGAAAGCCTACAGCAGGGTGACTTAGATCACAGGGTCCTGAAAGTCACATTCAGCAAGCCAAAGCTTGTTAGTCCTGAACAACTAATGGGCACGAGGCAACCCGGTGCACGTTTCACTTGCTTTTTTCAATTTAACCTTACCCACAGCATGATTCCCCAAGGCATGCAGTTCGAATCCACCAGCTGTTCTGCAGGAGAAAGATGGGCAATCTCCTCCTGGTGTGATTAACTGCCTCTAAAAACCCACAGAAGGGTCAGCTTTGGGTTGATTCTGACTCACTGGTACACACAACAACAACCACTACCATCCTATAACCCTAGTAACAACCTCTAGAATGTATATGACCCAAATCTCTGTGAATGCTAATAAACTGTCCAGGGCCATCAGCCAGAGGAGCTGGAATTCAAACTCACTTCTGTCCTCACCCGCAAACTGCACTGAATAAAGCCGGCCTTCCTTGGATTATTCATTGTGAGGTTCTAGTGCCACTGTCCACCCAGGCTTAGCAGATCTGCGTTCTACAGAGCTGCTCCGTGGCCTACCTTCCTGAATCACTGCTTCCCTTTCATCTCCTGCTGTTGCCTTCCTAAAATCGGTTTGCTCCTGCTCCCTAAATAGCTACATGAGCCTCCTTTCTGCTCGCTGCTCCTCCATTCATTTGCCAAAGAGACTAAGTTTTCGCGCCCAGCATAAAACTTGCACCCCAATTACTGTTCCTCTTCCTTCTCCTTCAGATATGCATAAGAAATACTTGAGCACCACAACAAGATAAAGGTAAATAATGCAATAGAAAAATGGGCACAGGATATGAACAGGCACTTCACCGAAGACGACATTCAG